GGATCCATTGAAAAGATGTCATGAGGAGGAACAGAATTGTCACCTATTGGCAGCTAAACTTTGGAGACATCACTGTGACCCTCCAAGCCACTTTCCACAGGACGTGAGACTACAGTATCCTGCCTGACTGCAGTGTCTTTAGCATGCTCTCAGGCCTCTTGATCTCCTTTGTTGAAACTCTTTTGGCTGTTGGATGTGGGTTTTCCAAGCCTGATGCAGGAATCCAGGGTGGGTACTTTTTCTGAGAAATGTGGTAGCAATCTCTAGTGCTGATTATACTGTCACCATCCTGCTGCAGCCACAAAGTAGCCAGCAGTGAGAGTTGCCTCAAGCTCCCCACCAGATAGTCCTCGAACTATCGAGCAGTGCTTGTGTTGGTTTACTTATTATGGTGCTGGGGACTGAACCAATGATCTCACATGCTAAGCAAGCACTCTAGCACTGAGCTATATGTCCAACCCCAATCAGTTAGTCCAAGAACTACAACCTTTATTTTCATGTAGACTACTGTGCTATAAAATGGAAATCAAGGGCTGGGAAGATGGCTCAGGCGGTCTAAGCTTCTGCCTGGCTAGTGCAAGGATCTGAGTTCAATCCCTGGTACTGCATGCCCGTTCCACCTCTGAAATCCCAGGCATGCCATGCTGACCCCAAAACCAGGCACGGTGGCACATGCTATAATCCAGTGCTGGGGAGGCTGAGAAAGGAGGATCACTATGAGTCTGAACTGTGTAGTGAAACCCTGTAACAGACAGACAGACTGATAGATTGATTTTTAAAAATGGAAATCAAGCACCTCTGATGGTTGGTCTTTCCATGAGAAATGGAGAGCACAGAGGAAGAACTAAAACGTTGAGCATATGCAATCGCACAGCTACGCACACAGGTGTTTCATTGCCTTGGAACCCATCTGACTAGCAGCTACGCTATGTGAAACAAAATGCTGATTTGTGTGTAATTACTCCTGACTTTAAAATTGAACTAAAAAATGTAAACCTCTAATACTTAAGAGCCATGCTGGAAGAACTATTATTTTTTTGTATTTTTTATTTTAGTTTTAAATACTTAATGTAGGGGAAAAAAAAGTCTACAATTTTAACCCATACCAGATACTGCTGTTGAGCATTAACCATCATAACCTTGTATGTGTGAGTTGGCATACTCAAGCTAGTTCTCTCTGATTGCAGAGTGCTCTTGCATTAAAACTAGGCTTAGCACTTGGTGAAAATTAACTTTATTTTATGGAATTTATATGTTACCTATTATTCAAGGAATGCCAGAAGTCATCAGATGGAGAGGTGTCCACTGAGCAAGGATCTGTGTTTTCTGACTTTTGAATTGTCATGCTTCTAACTGTGGCCAGTGGTTCTATGCCTGTCCTTGGTAATGTCAAGTTTCAGGAACCCTTAAGGGAATGAGATGACCATGACCTGATTTATGCCCCAACTCATTTTGCCATGAGACTCGAGCGTAATTACCTAACAAGGCTGCAGAACTTGCCTTCAAAGGAGCTAAGTCACCAGGGTCTGCCATCTAGGTTCCAAGAGTAGCTCTCGTGTGCCAAGAGCACAATCTTGCTTCTTGGTGTGGACACTAACAAGTTCATACTGAGACATCATCAGCTTGTGTGACTGTCACATGGCACAGGAGGGGAAGGAGAGGAGTGGGAAGAGCCAGGGCATACTGTAGGCTGTGGGGTGAGAGGCCTCTCTGCATTGCCTGATATCTGTAGGCTTCTGAGAGCCTTTGCATGTACAGATCTGAATAGATCTGATCTGAAATATTGATAGAAGATGCCACTGGATTATTTGTGAGTTTTGGACCTGTCTGTTTTACGATCCTTTTATTTTCCAAGTTATTCTGAGCTATTAGCATGACAGCCTATTTATACAGGTCTGCAGTATCCAGTGAATCCTCCATTAAACTGGAACTCAAATTATAGAAGATTCTAAGGAGTTCAAAACAGAACTAATCAGAGAAGCTGGTCATCACTGCCCTCTAGGACCGATAGGCTTGTGTGAAGGTGTGGTGATCTGCCTTGAGTACTTAGCTCCTCTCAGTCTAAATCTGCTCTGAATTTCAGCGCACAACATCAGCTGGAGGATTATTTCATAAAATGCCTTTTTAGGTACTTGATCATGATTGCAAGCACATCAAAGACAAATACTGTATCCTAAACGCTCTTGGATTTCCACTTCCTCGATACTGCCACTATAAGTGACAAAGCTACCTTTGAGTATTGAAACAAGCTCTGCTTGAGGTATCCAGGGTTCTAGCCTGGGCTCAGTCTTGAACTAGCAGCCCTGGAGTAGGTCCTATCTGCCACTACACTTGGAACTTGAAGCAGAAGTTTTGTAGTCCCCCTTTCCCCAGGCTCTCATCCCTCACCTGCGACAAGAGAGTGAGAGTTTGTCTTTACAGGGAGTTGTTCCAGATCTAAAATTCTATGCTGCTGTTTTCTTTTCAGATCAAAAATATGATTTTATTAAGCATCTGCAGGTCAGATTAGTTTTTCATGCATAGCCTAATAAAGTAATTAAAGTAGATAATGTTAGGGTGCTTACATGATGGGAACACTTCTCTGCTCATGTGGGTTATCTCATTCAATCCTCAGCCCTCAGCTTCCCTGGTGGGAGAGGTGACAGGCTCTGGTTGAACACAGACCTCAGGTGCCTCCTGGGTGCTGGAATGGCTGCAGTGCTCTGGAAAGGGCCACAGGGAACACATGACTGGTCCTGGAGAAGGGACCTCAGGACAAACAGGAGGAGCGAGAGAGTGGTCCAAGTAAGAGCAGCACAGTGCACAAAGGTGGAAATGACAAGCTCTGTGCTGCACGGGCCAGCTTGGGGGTCAGCCTGACTGCTTTGCAGGTTTTCGAGGGGGGATGAGTGGGGCTGGATTGTGGAGCCCTTGAATGCTGGACTGCAGCATGCAGACATCATAACAGAAGAGGAGGGAACCAAGCACTTACGTGCGGTTTAAAAGAAGTGGGTGCACGCAAGTGACAGCTAAGATGATTGTCCTACTAATTTCTATTGGTTTTTTTGAAGGTAGCAGTTAATGTTTAAGATTTTTTACTTTGTCTAATTTTACAAGTTTATCTCTGATAATCTGAGCAGCTACACTAAAGACAGCAATGTGCAATATAACCCCCACTGTTGAAAACCTATCATCGTGGGGTTTTTTTGAACTTGTGTATTGTTTCTAATGTCTTATCTATTTTTCTACTTTTTAAAAAGATAATAATAAAAGAAATTGGTGCGAGCTGGGTATAGTACATACACCTGTAATCCCAGCACTCAGGAGGCTGAGGCTAGAGGATTGCCATGAGGTCAAGGCCAGCCTAGGTTACCTAGTGAGTTCAAGGGCAGCCTGAACTGTGTAGTGAGACCCTGCCTCAAAATATAAACAAGTAAAATGCAAGAAGTATGCACAGGGTAGAAGGAGCAGAGCCTGGAGTCTGAGACCCTAGCAGCAGCCTCTGGTCTGTTAAGGATGGAAGTAACGAGGTTGCAAAGGGGACCTGCATTGCTCTTTCCCTCTGGCACTGGCAGGTTCTTGCTAGAGGCCTCACAGTAATCTGTGCTGGCTCAGCACTGACTTCCCCAGGGTCTGTGGCAGAACTGGCTTTCAGGCTGAGGGTCCTCGTGGCCAGGCTCTCTGAGCCAGCAGTTCTTCATCCAAGGCATCCATCTGTGCCTTGCTGCAGAGATACTGTCCCAGAGAAACCACTTAACTGAGGCCTTATACCAACCCCACATAACACTGTGATACCCTGGCCCAGGGAAATCTCACAGGTACAAAAGCCAAAGAGTGTGAAAAAAATAGCACTTCAGCATAGGTCCACAGGGCCAGCCAGATAGCTCAGCAGCCTAAAGCACCTGCTTAGGCAGGATGCAAGGGCCGGAGTGTGAGCCCCAGCATGCTGTGCCAGCCCTATCTCCTGGGGCGCACTGAAGTGGCAATTGAGACTGGGAGTGTTGGCACGCACCTGTAATCCCAGCACTTCGGACGCTGAAAACAGGAGGATCACTATGAGTCCGATCTATGTAGTTAGACCCTGTAGACCCTGTACTAAATACGTAAAAAGATAAGCGTAGGTCCTGCAAGAGGGTATCTCTACCTCCTCCCACAAAAAAATGGAAATGAAGTTTTGCCCACCTTCATAAATGAAGGTTAAATAAGATTGTCCAGAAAAACTTTTTTCCAACCTTTTAAAAAATTGAACTACTGTTCATGTACCACAAAGCCTGTCTTTATAGGTAGGGAAGAGAGGGCTTCTGGGGGTTCAACTCAAGGCCTTCACACTGAGCTGTAGCCCCGCCTTTTAAAAAAAACTTGAGATAGGTTTTCACTAAGTTGCCCAGGCTGGGCTTGAACTTGGGATCCTCCTGCCTCAGCCTCCCAGAGTGCTGGGATTATAGGGACATGCTATCATACCCAGCAAAACTCACTCTTTGAAGGGTACAATCCAGTATGTTCACCAAACTGTGAGACCATCACTATTGTAAGTTCCACAATGTTTTCATTACTCTAAGAAAGAGCCCTGTGTCCGTTAGAGTCATTCCCTTTTCCTGCTCCACCAGCCCTGTCAATCATTAAATCTCTTTCTGTTCCCTGGATGTTTCATGTGCGGTGTATGGAATGATGCGTTCTTTTGTGTCTGGTTTCATTCACTTAGTGTAATGTTTTCATAGTTCATCCATGCTATAGCATGAAGACATTCCTTTAGAATGTTGACTCATGTTCCATTGTATGGATATTTATCACACTTATCCACACAGCAGAGGATGGCCATTTGAGTATTTCTAATGAATAGAAATACTCTATTATGAAGTATTGCTCTTATGAATAATGCTGCCCTAAAGGGTGTGCAAGGTTTTCTGTGGACATACTTCCTTTTCTGTGGGTGTACCTTAGCAAAGCAATTTGGGAAGAATTTAAACAACTTCAAGTGCAAGAGATTTCATTTTCATTATTCTTCCTGTGGTTGTTTCCAGTTCCCATTAGTGGCTGATTTGTTTCATGATGACAAGGATGCCACTCCTGCTACCACCCCAGCTGGGAAGGGATCATCTTCGAAGATAAACATTCGCTCTGCCAAGCCCCCCATGAAGATCTCCAACAAAGACCACAAGAAAACTGTGGGCCACCAGGTGAGCCCCAGGCCCATGGCCAGAAGCCTTGGCCCTAGCGTGTGTGGCAGGGCTCACCTCTCTGTAGATGTGGCTGCAAGGGCAGGGAGGACATGGTGGCTTGGTGCCAATGGCCTTGGCCACCTCAACCAAGCTTTTTGTCTTTGGAAGAGGAAACTCCAAAAGCTCTACTAGCGAGGACTAACAGAAGAAAAGGGAGGGGATATGGGGACAGCCCCACTCAATGCACGTGTCACTGAGGCACAGCCACAGTGATTAGCTTGTAGGATGGCAGAGGTCACATCTGTGGGGTAGAGAGGAGAGCTGAATAAGCCCAGTGATCAAGAGACCACCAAACAGATTCTCCCTTCTTCTCAGGCCTCTGTTGGCATTCTACCCAGTGCATCTCCAGAGAGGAGCCTTTGGCTACCACCACTTTTATTTCTGTGGATTTGCCAATTCTGGACATCAGATTCATGGAGTTATTCCTACAGTGCTCCACCCATGATGTCAAGGCTGCAAGACCCTAGTGTGCAGCTGGCAACTGCCTCTTATCTCTCACTGTTTGCAGCCCAGGCTGGCCTCAAACTCACAGCAATCCTCTGTCTCAGCCTCCTGAGACCTGGGACTACAGGCATGTGCCACCATGCCCGGCCTCATTCGCCTTTTCAGCTCACTTGATCCCTATGGGAATCAAGCGCATTAAGGGCTGGTCTCTGCTCACTTAGTTTGAGTAGGGCCCCTCTGAGGGAAGGACTTGATTTTTCATCCCAATAAGATAACAATGTCAGCTGGAATCTGACCACAGGTCTCCGAGTTTCTTCCCCTGTTCTTTTGGAAATAGTAATAGCAGGAACAGTTACTACTGTCACCACCAGTGTGAGTTTTTCTTTATCTGACATTAAACAAAACATTAAAAATAACTAAATGCTGGCTTTTACCTCCCCAGTTCCGCAACTCACTGAATCGCCTGATGGAGACTTTAAATGCCACAACACCACACTATGTCCGCTGCATCAAGCCCAACGATGACAAGCTGCCCTTTTAGTAAGTACCTGCTAGGCATGGGCAAGCCTGAGACCCACATCCCTCCTCAGAGTTCAGGGGAAATGGCATGGGCCCACGCTTGTGGGGTCTGCAGCTTCAGCACAGGGACTGGTCAGATGGGCTTAGGTGTGAACACAGGCGAGCAGATGTCACTGGACTGCACCTGCCACTCTCCAGGATTCAAGAGGGAGAAGATAGTGTTCTTCCATTACCTGGGGCTTGGGGTGGTATTGAATGTGCACCCATCCCTCAACCAAAGAGGAGGATTGTGTAGAAGTGTGTCACTAAATGTGGAAGGCTGTGTCTCTCCCACAGAATGTTAAATTCAGACACTTGAAGATGGCAGGAATGGCCAGAAAGGGCATTTCTGGCACTAAGGAAGCCACCCTCATATGGCACATGGAGCGTTAGGACACAAAGGCAGTCCTGCCTCTTGCATGGCTTCTGCCCCTGCACTTCCGGGTTATCCACTCTTCTCCTCATGCATCACCTCGACCTTGAAACTGTTCTTTGCACTTCTGTCCATGCTCATTTGGCTGACTTCATGCAAATATGTGTTAAGAGTAGAGTGGTTCTTAATTATCTTTTCCACCTTTGGTTTCTGCCCAATTCCAGACCAGAACTTCTGCCTGCTGCTGTAGCTTCCAGGGCCACCCCACGTTCAACGTGATTGAGACCACACTCTTGGTCTTCTCCTCCCAAAATAGCCACTCTTGTTTTTGTATTGCTTTAATGAATGTGCAACCCTCCTGCCATCACATTCACCCCCCACACCTGATGTCCCAGACGAGAAACCTGAGTCACTCAAGGCCAGCTCTGTCCAGCAGGATCTTCCAGGATGATGGAACTGTTCCGTACTCGGCATCACCCAGTGCAATGGCAGCCAGTCATGTGTGGCCCTCGGGGCCTGAAATATGGCTAGTGCAGTTGAGGAGCTGAGGGTTTCACTTCAGTGTCTCCTTCCCTCAGGTGACGAGTGGCTGCCATGTTGGGCAGCAGGCCCCTTGCTCTGCCACCTTTACCCCATTGTCTGGTCATTGTTAAAGTCCCATGGAATCTCCATGAAAATTTAACTTTTCTCTTTTTTTCCCCTCATTCCAAATCCTCTTCATTTCTTTTTCCTTGAAAGTTTTTATGAACATGTACAATTATAGACATTAATGGGGTTCAGTGTGATGTTTCAGCACCTATATGCAGCAACCACTGGTCAAATCCAGCTGCCCTCGATTCGCCCCTCCCTTCCCCTGTTCACACTCATGTGGAATCAAGGAGTCAATGCAATTGAGTGTAACAGCCTCACCTCCTTGGTTCCTGCCTGCAGTGCACCCCAGGTCATTAAAGCAGCCTATCATGCACCTCAGCAGCTCCTCAGCCGCCGACTCTGGGCCTCCTCTGACCAGGGGATATGTGTCTTTCATTTTTCTTCAGCACCCTATTCCCACCATTCTTTATGCTAAGACCAAAAAGGAAACCATGGATATTTATTACTATAAAATCAATCATTTTGACAACTCTGACTTGCAGACAACATTTGAATTGCCTTCTGCAGTTGCTGTCCTTTAATAAAGCCCCGCCTCCCACCTCCGGCCTCGAGGTGGAAGAGGGCTGGGGAGCCAGTAGCCAGTCAGTCTTCTCTGAAGTGTGCTGACTGCTCACTTGCTCTCTCCTTCCTCATTCTGACATGCACCTAGGAGCCCCACCCCAGCAATGTGGTGCCTGATTACTGGCTGGCTGCTGGAAAAGAAGCTGAGGGAAGAGCAGTGTGTGTGTGTGTGTGTGTGTGGTGTGTGTGTGTGTGTGTGTGTGTGTGTGTGTGTGTGTAAGACACATGCTATATAAAGGCAGAGCAGTGTGAAGGGCCTGGGTCAGAAAGGATGGTGCTCAGTGCCTGCTCTGCCCCAGCCAGCTGTGACCCTGGGCTGGTTGTGGACCAAAGCCTGGTATCTTTCTTTTTTTGGTCTCTTTGTGAGATTTTTTTGGGGGGAGGGGTGGTACTGGGGATTGAACTCAGGACCTTGTGCTTGCCAGGCAGTGCGCTTATGCCACTGAGCTATATCCCTGGCCCAAAGTCTGGTATCTTCTAGGTGCCACATACTCTGGACTTCCCTCTCACTTGAGACGTGAACTAGAAAGGCTTTCTGATCTTAATACTGTTTTTTCTAAGACCCTCCTTTTCCTCCAGGACCAAAAATTTTCAACAAATACAGGGAATGGGAAGAATACAAAATAATAATGAAGCAAATCAGAAAACCTGAATTCTTGCTCAGGCTTACTACTGAGTATGTGTTGCCTTTGTCTCTTTGCTTTGTCTGTTAATTGTGACTTTATATCCTGAGAGAAAAAAACCGAAGGAGGTAATCAATGGGAACTACTTGTAAGAAGTGTGAGCGTTCATATGATTAGAATTATTGTTATTGACATTATGCTAGAAGGAAATTAATGTATCGTTCTTCCCATTTCTTATAAATTTCTTGGTGTTAATACTATTGACATTTCAGATCATGATTATTGTCATAAGGGACTATCTCGTGCATTGTAGGATATTTAGAAGCATCACTGGCCGCCATGCACCAGCTACCATTCCCACCATTGTGACAATTAAAAATGTTTTTAGACTTTGACTATGTTCCCTGGAGAATAAAATTGCCCCCTTGAGAACCACTGTCCTATACTGAATGCTTTGCTAGCATCTCTTACTTTTCTCCCTACTTCCTTTTTTTTTATTATTATTATTATATTTTAGGGAAGGGTTCACAGGGTGTTCAGGGTCTCACTATTAGATTGAACTTGTAACGATCTGCCTGTTTACAGCCTCCCAAGAGCTGGGATTACAGGCGCACACCACCATACCCAGTCTCAATGGCCATCTCAGCGCACTCTGGGCACTGGGCTGGCACTGCAGGGCCGGGGATTGAACCCCTGGCCCCTACGCCTGCTTGCAGGTGCGTTAATCTGCTGAGCTATTTGGCTGGCCCGTCTCTACTTTTATTTAAGAAACTTCTCTCATATTTCATTAAGGAACTGGGATAGGACAGGTAAAATGGCATTAGGAGGGCCCATCACAAATAGCTGACAGTGTCCCCGGAAAGGACCATCAGCAGCCCTGTGAAAGCACTACTAGAATAGACAAAAACCAAACACAGTAAAGGGTCTTTCCTCACCCAGGAAAGAGGTGGCCTAGGGTAAATGTTATAATCTAAACTCACTTAGAAGAGGACCTAGCCAGGTTTCTCGAAGGTCAGCCCACTGGTGTCAAGGTACTTCTAAGATTCTGCTAGGCCTGAAGAACAGGACTGACTGACAAACGTCTGACTGCAGAGGTGAAGCTGATACCATGGTGTTTTCACTCCACATCCAAACTCCAGGTGCTGTCCTGCCCCTCCTACTGGGAGGGGAAAGTGGAAACCTGCAGTTTTGACTCCACATATCTTTTATGGCCTGAGTTAGATGTTAATTGTCCTCACCAGATTCCTCCAGAATTTAATAGCAGAAGGCCTGGTTTTCCATTCTTCATCAACCCATGATGACTGCAGGCGCGCGGTAGGGAGATGTGCTTGACAGGGAGGTTCCTGAACTCCTGAGGGTATAAGACTAGAGTACAGAAGGCTGGCTGTCTTTACAGCTCCCCGAGGGTATGTGAACAGGGAAAGAGTGGCAACGTGGTCTGTGTGTCCTGTTTGCTTTTCTCTGAGAAGTCCTTTTTTGGATCCCTTGATCATTACAGCATAACTTGTAAGTTCTAGACAAGCAGATGTCCCCAGCACCCACTGAGTGGATGTGGAAGATGTGCTGTGGAGAGAGCCTGTCTTCTGCAGAGGGATGGAGCTGAGAGCAGCAGAGCCGGGGCTGACCCTCTGCTCCCTCCCTCAGCCCAGAGTGTAGGGAATGATGTTGCCAGCTTGGGAGGGAAGAGCAGCTGTGAGGAACCAAGTGATTCAGCTGAGCTTCTGAAGCAATGATGAGCTTACTTGCTGGGCTCTAGGCATGGTGTGTGCAGCTCCTAGAAGATTGATATCTTACACACACACACACACACACACACACATACACACCATTCCCAACATACTTTTCTGTGTTGTATGATTGTAGAGACATCCAGCAAACTGTTGCCTGACCATCAGACCAGGACCCAGTTGACAGCTGGGATGCACAGTGTCCACAAAGTGTGACATAGGGGGGAGCTAAGAGAAAGGAGAGGTGGGGCAGCTAGAAAGAGGAATAGTTCTTTTAAGGAAGAAAGTGGTTATTAAGGCACATCTGTTTATTGTCCACTAAAATGATGGGTGGTCCTAGAGGGCATAAGGACCTTTCTGTGGCACCAGGAGTGTCACAGATGCTGCCACCCCTACCATGTGTGAGACTTGGGTGAGCTCCCGTACATATGTCAGGCAAAAAGAGGCACCAGTGGTCAGATGGCTGCTGTGGTGAGGTGTGGAGTCCCAAGTAGGGAGCTCCACGGTCCATGGAGCATCTTTCCCAAGCTGAGGTATGTCCCCACTGCACTTGAGGTGTAACTGCCTGCCTTGGATGTGAAAGCAGAGAGTACACAGTAAAGCCTGCACCCCAAGTGCTCTGCGTGCTCACCAAGAGTCTTTATGTCCAAAGGAGAGCCTTACGCTACTGATCAAGGCCCTCCTCTGCTCCCAGAACTTGTGCTATGTCCTGTAGAAGACTGAAAAAGGGATGAGTATTGTGTGATCCTACAAGACCTTGGCCTGGGAAGAGCTTTGATTCTGATGAAAAAAGATCCTCACTCAAGCACTCTTATTGGGGTGGTGTAAAACTCAGCATCTAGCTGTGCTCTGCACTCTCCGTGTTGTGGGTGACCTGAGGCTGGCATCATTGAGGACTAATGAGAAAGATGATATATGGGGGAGCCGGTGTTGGGGACACAAGACTTGGGCAGGCCGAGGGGAGGAGTAAGGAATGAAAGTTAGGGCAGGCCTAGAGGAGACTGTGGTCTTTTCTGGGACTTGAAATCCATAGCTCAAACAGGATGCAGTGTGCTGAAGGTGAAGTGGGACTGTGTACTGTCGTCACCTGGGAAGTACCTGCTGGACCAAGCAAGCCCAAGGCAGCATCTGCTGAGTGCGTGTACACTGTGCACCTAATGGACCTCAGCGTCCTGGGCCCATGTGATACCCAGCATTAGAGTGTGGTATGGGCTATGCATTGGGATGGTTACAGAGAGATGAGAGGACAGACAGGGAGACCCTCGGACACAGGTGAGTCAGCGGGTGGCAGACCCCCAGGTCACCCATCTTCAGGGCTCCAGTAGTATCTGGATGGGCCTGGCTACTGGGAAGAGAACACCTGAGTGATTGTGGAGAGTGGTGGTGTGGCAAGAGGCTGCCTGCTGGGCGGTTGGTTGCAGGGCCTAGAGCTTTTTGCCCCTATCTCTTTTTATCTTAGCAGGGCAAGCTGGCTCCCCAGGACCTGGTCCTAGATCTGGCCACAGCCACCATGGTCTGTGACTGTGAACTAGGAGCTGTTTTTCCTCCTGCCTTTCCATTTACAGAAGAGGAGGAATAAAAGAAGCATATACTTCAGCTGCATTGGGCTGCAGACAATCAGAAGGAATGGGAGCTTCACCCCTCCCCTCTGCTAGTAGAGTGGAAAGATGGATTTTAGCAAATTATAAATAGCAATTAATTCTAGGTCACCTTCATTCTTTGTCAGTTAAGACTCTTTGATCTCTCAGCCAATCTGGTGTTCTGTAGTACTTTCACCATGTGTCCTACAGTCTGCCTGGTAGTGTACATTGATATACCTCTCCTCTCCAAGCACTGTCTCCCTTAGGAAACCCACATAAGGTCTGAGTTATTCTATAGCATCACGTTCCCTGTCTATGTGTGAATGAATATTCATTTGGGGCACTAGGCTTGGCATCCTAAGGCATAGCAATGATTTAAAATGGGCCTCTGTCTCTAACGATGGGAAAACAAAGTACTATATGATTTTTTTTAAGTCAGGGTCTCACTATGTAGTTCAGGTTGGCCTTCAACTCCCTATGGAGCCCAGCCTAGACTGACCTCAAACTCAGCCATGCTCCAACCTCAGTCTCCAGCAACTGTATGCTTCCCAGTGAGTATCTGTCCTGATCCTAGCTAACCCGCGGGCCCCAGTCTTGAGCCAGGAGTGTTCTGCTTGCTCCCATGGACTATTACATTTAAGTTTCATACAAACCTTAGAAAATGGGTTCTGTTGCTTGAATATACTTGAAATATCCCATCACATTCTGAACCCCAAAAGAGGCTAATCCTGCCTCAGATTGTATGTGCTGCTGCTAGTGGCCATGCCATGCGTCAAACTCGGATCTGCCTGGACTGAAATTTACCCTTTTCTAAATGTATTTGGTACAGGATCTCACTACCCAGCTTGGACTCAAGCTAAATAATGCTTGTGGTACTAAATATCCTATAGCATATAGCATGAACTCTGAACACTGGACTGGGACACATGCCCATGTGGATGGGAACAGGACAGCTTCTTGATAGGAAGCAGGAATGAGTCGGGGAGGGTGGGCAGTATTTAAGCAAAGAAGGGTCACCCAGATGTGTTTTAAGAATGTATACAGGTGCCTCGTGCATAGAACCGAAGATGCTAAAATGGTTCATTCACCTGCCAATCTGTGCTTTATCCCAACTTTGTATACAACCACACATACATGCTGTGGGGAAAGGTGTGCCTGCCTTGTGTCCTGCTGTGTTCATTATGTGTCAGTGTGGCGCTTATCACTTGTCTTACTATTTGGCAGCTTTGACCCAAAGAGAGCCGTGCAGCAACTCAGAGCCTGCGGAGTGTTGGAGACGATTCGCATCAGTGCAGCGGGCTACCCATCCAGGTAACGAGCTGCCGGCCACACCCTTCAGGGCTGCTAGAGAGCAGAGTGTGGGGCTCCAGGGAGTCCTCATGCTGTTAACCCAAAACAGATCCTCAGAACAGTTCCCACTCCGAGGGCCCAGACCAGATGCTGATGGGAAGAAGAACTTCAGTTTGACCTGAAAAATACAGAAATCAAAAGTAACATCCTTTGGGGCAACTTTTCAAATTTCACACTGTCGCTGGTCTAGGTGAAGAAGATACAGGAGCAAAAGGGTTTCCCTCTACCCTCAGTGGGAGGGGTAAAATACAATAACATAATGTCTACCACCCTAAACATTCTTCAACATTTAGATTATAGTTACACTATTGCATAACCATCACTACCATCCATTTCCAGAACTCTTTACATCTTGCAAAACATGTAATAAAAACTGCCTTTTAGTCCCTGTTTGTCACATAACAAAATACCTCAAACAAGGTAACTATAAAGAAAAGGGGTTTACTTCATGGTTGGAGTGGCTGAAAGTCCAAGACTGTGTGGAAGGGATAAGTAATATAAGACAGGAAGCCACAGAGGCCCTGGGGTCTCACAGCACCTTCTGAGAGTGGTGTCCCAATTGAACTAAGGACCTCCTAACACCACTACCCTGGGGGCCAAACCTCTACACATCCTTGAGGAATAAATTGTGTCAACTGTGGCCCCTCCCATTGCCTACCCCAGCCCTCAGCAGCCACCTTTCTACTTCATCTCTGATTTTGACAACTTAAGTTACCTCAGATAAATCGAATCATGTGTCTGATAGTTGGTGAACATTTCCATCCTGAAGCAGTAGAGATGTTTGCTGGAATATTTCTGCTGGACGTGTCTGACTTCTGTGCAGATTGAAGAACTAGAAGGTTCTTTGTTCAGGGACTCTGTTGTTGTATATGGACATTTGAATCACTCTTTGCTGCTCAGCTGGAATGGCTACTTCAGCAATATTAAACAATCAACTCCTTTAAAAAAATTGAATCACGTAACACTTTTGCTCTGTGATCTCCTTGTTGCACTTAGTATAATGTGTTCAAGGTTCATTTGTATTGATAGCATGTGGCAGAATTTTCTTTTTCAGGCTGAGTAATATTCCCTTGCATGTCTATTCACCTTTCTCCTGCCCATTCATCACTGGTTGGGTCCGTTTATCTTCTAACTAGAATCCCTATGGGGGAAAATGTAATGTCATGCTTTGATTGCATTGTGGATAAGCCACTGAAGCACTCCAGGTCTGAGGAAGCCGTGCCGGGAGCATGGATTTCCTGTGGATGTTTGCCTGAAATACGGGTGGGCCACGAGTGACAATCCCACTAGCTCACACCACACTATATACCAATGTCACATAAACCTTCTGCTGTTAGCTGGGACTGGACTGAGCAGTGCAGCAGCCCAGACTTGTGATGATGCCCACAAGGAGCATGTGTCCTCAGAAGTCCCTTATGTGTCGGGGAGAAGCCGGAAGGGGAGATGTCAGGCCTCTGCTCCACCTATCACGGTCCCCTGCAGTGGAAGGGCCATTTATGCAGTAGTTAATTACCCATAACCCACTTAACTGTCAACAATCCCCAAATGTTAGGGCTGGAGGGAAGTTGTTGATGGAATTAGGAATTTGCATTTGACCTGAAGAGTGTAAGAACTACCACTGATCTGCAACATTCTTGCATCTTTTCAGAACCCAGCAGGATGAGCACTGGAGCCAGGTCTAGGGCTATTAATTCTTTAATTTTCAACCATATAGGGGCCAGGGAGATGGCTCCATGGAATAAGCACTTCCCTGGCAAGCACAAGGGCCCTGAGTTCAATCTCCAGTTCAAAAAAAAATCAACCATATCTTTCCTTCTTTAGGAGAAGCCTCACTTTTTGCCTTTCTGCTTAAACACTGATAGCTAGCCACCCTCATTGCAAATCGGGGCTAGTTTCTGCTGCTTAGGTAAGGCTTAGCATTATTTTTCTCAGACTGCCCTGCCATACCCAGCATCTCTATGTTTGATTATGGGGAGAGGGCCTAGGCCCAGACTGAGGGGCTCGGGTGTGAGTTCAAACTGCTCCACTCTTGGTGCTTCTCTGTCATGTCTGTGGGACTCTCAAGACAGGCGTCACCTACCAAAGGCTTCATTAGTACCACCATTGTTAATCCGCTGTTTCTAAGAATTGTGTGCTGAAACTCATCAGTGGGTTGTGAGATCAATGAAATGGGTTGTGACCAAATGTGTTGTTTTTTATTGAAATAACTTAGGTTGGAAATTGTAAGAGGGTAGTTTGTGGCAGAAAGAGTATTATGGCATGAATATTTCTCAGTGTTAGGTTAGGTAAGGTGGGTTGTCATCTCAGGTATGGTCCCATAATGAGACCCAGAGAAAGTGTGAGCTGCTTGTGGCTGAGTCAGATCTACAGCCTGCATTCCTCTGCCCGGGCTACATCATCCTTACTGAATATCTCATGCTCTCTTCAGCACCTTTGAAGTGCTGTCCTCCAAACAGGGTTATCAGAGGAAGAAGGGGCCGGGTATGGTCCTGAAAGACTGCCCGCTCCCCTATGCTAGGCCTAGACCTGAGACCTAATGTAGCACTGACTGCTCCTCATTCTTTCTGATGTTTTAGAGTCCAAATTCTAGAACTGCATGCTGGGCAAGAACTGAAATAGCCAGAGTGTGTTGAACCCTGGCCTTTGTAGCTAGGCCTGAGTTCAGATGTTGGCTGCCACACTTCAAGAGAGGGTGACCTTGGGCAAGTTAATAAACATGTTTAAGTCTGGGTTTCCTTATCTTTAAAATAATCACTCTTACTTCATAAGTATTGCAAGGAATGGGATAAAGTCCTCGGTATAGTACTAAGCACTTATACTTATGGTAATCCAGATATAAGCAAGAAAATGCCTCCTTGTGAGTGTAAGTACCTGGGAAGAATATATCTATACCAGAAATTTCTAGCTTTGGTTTAGTGAAATCAGCTTGTGTGGCTACCTTGAAAGAGGATCCTGAAAGTCTTAAGCCGCTGAAAGGGTCAGTTTAAAAGTTGTATAAAGGGGCTAATGGTATAATTTAGTGGCAGGGCACACTCTGGTATGCTCACACACATCATGCTAAATTCTCTAGGGCCATTGTGAAAAAGTGGGCTTGGAATGCCAGTTTCTACAACTATGCCTATGCCATATGCTGCAGAGGCCTGGAGGTAAGCAGAGAAACTCCAAGTGCTCACCACTTTGTGTGTAATGGTGGCTTTGTAAAGTGGAAGATACATAGATCATACCATATTAAGCCATACAGAAAGCATACATAGATCATACCATATTAAGCCAAAGAAAGCATGTGACAGTGAGGTCATCTCTGCCAGGCAAAACCTTGGGGTCCGTCTCAGTATAAAAGGAGCCAATGGGGCCAGGAGATGGCTTAGTGAAATAAGCACTTCCCTGGCAAGCACAAGGGCCTGAGTTCAATCCCTGGTTCCACAAAAAAAATAAAGGAGCCACTGTTTCACCAAGGACTTTCTAACAGATGGAATTAATGGTAGGACAAGTGACTTGGAGGATGCGTCATGCCAAGAGTGTTTCCTCGTGCATCAAGAAGAGGCTTAGAAGCCCACGAGTCTGACCTGGCTAACCGTAAACCCTCCATAGCAGGTGTCTATACACATCTGCCACCTCTAACTCGCCAGCTGAGCTTCCTCAAAGCCTCACTGTGTGAAGTCAGAACTGTAGTGTATGTCACCCACATTCCTACGAAGCTTGTTACCACTGTAAAAAACAATCTGCTTTAGAGATAGGAGATTTACTTTTAAGACTGCACATGAACTTCATGTGAAATGCAAACAGTATTTTGCCTTTCTGGGGTCCTTCTCTCCTCCTTTACTTCTCTCCTCCATGTCTCCTGTATGGAGCCTCCAGCTCTAGCTGCCCCATGCCCACAAGAAACACAGAAGTGACAAAATCCTCAAGTTGTTAAAGAAAAACTCAACCAGATGTAAGTTTATAGTGCAAGTGTGGGAGGAGTGGAGACTTCTTAGATAAGATGAAGCTGGAGCTGGGCCTTAGGGAATCAAGAGGACTTGGATGGGTGGGGAGGCAGCGGGAAAATGCCACCAGCTGTGCAGAGTAGCACACTGTTCCATGAAGGACTGCGACTTAAAGAGGGCTTCTCTGCCCTCTCAGTGCCCTGGGCCCACTGCTCGGTCTCCCAGATGCACCACGCTTGGACCCCAGATATGCTTTTCCCTCATCCAAGCAGACTTTTTTTGGCAGCTAAGAGAACTCATGCCTGCCAAGTCTTTAGGCCCATGTGGAAGGCGGCTTCTCCTACTGTGGATTCCACCTGGCTGCAGTCATCCTTGCCAACAGGATTAGGATGCCCACAACCTGCTGGTCTCTTACAGGGCGTCTTTTCTTTCTGCCTTCCTAATTGTTTTAGACTTCTTTTTAGTGGGTGATTACAAATGCATTTGTGCCTTTTGTTTATGCTGCTGCAGTATTATGGAAACTGTAATGAAGGAAAGAAAGATACTCTTCTGGTATCACAGAACATGTTGTCTAAAGCTGTGATACCAGTATGTGGGCCTAGATCCAGTACACTCTTTTTGTGTCTTCCTTACATTTGCTGCCTGCTATGGTTTATGTAAAGTGGTCCGCCCAAAGCTTCATGAAGTTGTTGGGGCAGTTTCTAGAGGTTGTGATTAAGTCATGATCCAGTGCTGGAATTGTGGTGTGAGTGCTGCTCCCACCCTGGGGCAGAGGACAGCCTGAATGCAATACAAGGAAGGGAGAGAGGCTAGCCAGCGGCTGCAGCCTCAGCTCCTCCCTTTCTGCTCTTGCTCTCTTGCTGTTTTCCACCACCATGCACTGCTGCCCTCTGCCCTGTGCTGCTCTGCCTTGGGGCCAGCCAAGTATGGACTGAAACCTCCATGAACTGTGAGCTAAATAAACCTTTCCTTCCTTAATTTTGGGTATCAGGTATTTTTGTCCCAGCAACAAGAGGAGAATGACAAACACACTGC